GCACCGGCTGGGCATCCGAGGATAATGATGGTTGGAGCGATGGAATCCGGACAGGAGGGGGGCAGAGTGCTATGGCAAAACGGCGACGAGCTATAGCATGCCTAGCTGCTTCCTGGTAGTAGAGACCGGGGTGTTGCGTTAGTAAGGCAGTTAGGTTGAGACGAATGGCTTCGTGAAAGAGATCGCCGAGCAATTCAAATCTAATCATGAGAACGAAAGGTAAAAATGCATGCAAGAAAATGTGGAGTGTAGCAGATAGACATGAACAAACAGCAGAACAAAGGAATCCACTTATGAGCAAATATAAAAATTGTAAGAGTAAGCCAAACTAACGGATATAAATAAATCGCATAGGTTTATATAAATAGATATTCTAAGTTATAAAGACTTTAAATTAAGAGAAAGGATTACAGACATACTAGGACAAAATAAAAGGCGTACTGTTTTGACATCCAGGCCTCGTGCTCAAAGGCAAGCTCAGGCAGGCCAACGAGGTTTTTAAAGAAATCGATGTGACGACGAAACTGGGAAATCGCATCGGAAGCATTATTTTGGAAGGACAGCTTACAGATCTACAAAACAAAAAAGTAAAAATAAGCAAATACGATATATTAATGGATAAAAATGCAAAAAGATGTTGCCTTAAATGAGAAGATTTTTGGATATAATGTTACTTGGAAATTCATCCCAATAGCCACTTATAGCTTGTTTATATGAGCTAATCTTTGGATATGAATTTATAGGGTCTCTGGGCCATTCTGCAAAGGTAACCCTTGGTTTAATTAGGCACAGAGTGTAACAAAACTTTAAAGACATAGAAGTATACAAAGTAACGATGAGCAGTGCATAATTATCAATAAGTTATAATCACAGTGTAGTTATCGGTTTAAAAATTGTTGAAATGTTCTAGCAAAAGAATTAAACGTAATAGATACGATATTTTATATGGTGGCCACGATCATTTGTCTTAGTTAAAAAAGGTTAAATTAGCCGTTACAGTAAAATCACTTTAGTATGCGGAATAAAATGAGTCAATACTTCTAAAAACGAACAAAGAAAGTTAAGCAAAATCCAAGATATTTCGCTTTGTAAAATATCTGGTAGTAAGGATTATCCTTACGACTTCCAAAAATGCGTTAACTTTTGATTTCAACATAGTGCATAAAACTATTTTTATTAAGGGAGGCATCTATCCTACTAAACAAGATCGCTTCGTATAAGAGCTGTATTCATTTTATTCCGCTTAAGGTAATGGAGGACTAGCCGTTTAATTTTGCCATAATCATATGAGTAGGCCTAAGGTTTTCATTGAATTTCATACAGACTTGCTTCACAAAAGATAGATCAGACCTACTTGAATTTTTTTCAAACTAATTATAAACTGAAAAATTGCCTCTTCTTTCAAGCCCTTAGCAGATTGAAATAGTACGGAGTATAAATATCTGAACGTGCTTCAGCAACCAATACTACAGCAATGCCCTGCGTTCCCAAAAGCAATAATCTAACATTTTTATGGGGGGCGAGAATTTTTATCGTACATAGTTTAGATAACGTAAGCCTAAAACAGGTTAAATTGTCATTCTAGCACAATTAGGTTTTAAGATATTTAAAAA